AATGTAAACAAATATAAAAGATGTCCTAATATTCACATTGTGTGAAAAATGTGAGTATTAAGTGAGAAATACGCAGTTTGTAGCATTGGCGCGTTTAGACCCTTTTCAGTAGTGATGGGATTTCCGGCTCCTTTTAGAGAACCGGCTCTTTCGGCTCGGCTCACTAAAAGAACCGGCTCTTCAGGTTGTTTTATTGCTTTAATTAATTTAGTATTAACAACAAAATAAAATTATGCACAAAAATAATTACTAATGTAAAAAAAGTGGTATTATTTATATATGTTTATATATAAATATATACAATGGCCCCTAGAGACAAAGCATGTACAATTTCCTCCAAACTCCAAAACACATTTCTAGCGTTAACTGAACTTCCAAAACAGAGCTACCTAGATCACTTAAATTACACAATTGAACGCATATGTGTATTGTTTGTGTATTTATTCACAAGCACACACATATATTCAAATAAAAAAAAAAAAAGTTCATTTACCTGTTACTACCACACACCAAATCCGGTCGTTGGTACTTCCTGGCTTGTGTAGCCACTGGGTAACAAAAGCTCAACACTGCCCCCTAGCATCCTGGAGCACTTCTGTTGTGTTTGTGTCTGTTTTGAAACTTGTACGTGCTTTGTCTCTAGGGGCCACCGTAAATATACTTTTATTTATTCACTCCACATAAAATGTAATAAATAAATCATATAATACAAAAAACAACTATTCACATTTCAACTTTCAACTATTTAAATTGTCAGCTTTTTCCTTTTAAACAAATTTTAAGTGAAACAACACAAAACACTGCAAACCACAACAAAATTAAATATAAATAAAATATGAAAACAAAAAGAACATGCACATTCTCTGTCATATAGGCCTGCATGAATAAACTTTCTGAATCCTTTATCATCCGTAACTGAAAATAGCTGTGGATGATTACTACACCTTTCTAATGTGACGTTGTTATCCCTGGCTCTCTTTCTCTGTCTCTCCCTCCTGCTCTGTTCCTGTGCTACTGCGAGTGTAACTATCGCTCCTCCCCCCTCTTCCCAGGGCAAAGCACAAGGCTCGCGTGCAGAGTGAAGCGGAAAAAAGTGTGAGAGAGAGGGTGAGAGAAAGAAAAAAAAAAACCCCATGGCTCCCGATAAGGAGCCGGCTCATGTCGTTCATGTCAAAGACCCGGCTCTAAGAGCCGTTTCGTTCGTGACCGACACATCACTACTTTTCTGGATGCTCAACCACCCTAAAAGCAACATGCCCTTTTAATGCTACATTTTCCAAACTTCTCTGTTGGAGATCATACAGCAGATTACAGTGAAATCAAGTCCAGCGTTCTTGATGTCAAGTTGCTATTAGTGCACTCAAACAGAGGAGCTGCATGAGAGACAGGGATGGAAAGGGTTAGAGGTAAAGAGCAAAAGTCAAAGACAGCAAAAGCTGTAGCTTCTCTTTTGCCCACATTCATTGATGATGATTTCATGATCTAAAGTTTGTGCAAGTTTCTCCTCTTTTTCTGCTTTACTACAAATTTTGCTTTAACTTACTTTCAAAAGTTATATTAAGAACTGTGATCATTTATTCAGAATCATTCTTCGTGCATAGTGGTCAGTACAGTGGACAGCTATTCAAAGGCTGTTTTCTTGTATCCGTTTCAGTGTTGATGGCACACTTGCACTTAAACCACTACATCGGACACTGATGTGTCACTCCATACCAAATTCATAGGTCAAAACGTAGGTTGTCCACCTAAGTGGACATGTAACAAACTCTTTGAAAAGTACATGTTTAAAAAAAATGAAGTTCAAAAATCTTTTTTTTTTTCATGCCTAAAGATGACTAAAACTACTTAAGAATAAAAATCCTGACTGAGGTTGTCATAATTCATGCATGAAAGGGTTCAACACTGAAATATAATCCAAAAAAGATATTTCTTTTGGATATGTTTTAATGTTTATCCTGTAACATTCAGGTCTGCAAAGGTGAAAATTATGTTTACATGCAGCATAATATGTTGGTATAATTGTAAGGCAGAATGGATGACGTTATGACTGGGGGCTGAGGCCTCCTAGTGGTTTGATCCTAGAATCGTCCCTGGTGTGTGGCTAATTGTCCCAGACGAACAAGGCAACTGATCATAAGAATGCAATTCTCTTCTTTGCCACAAGAAGTCACTGCCGGAAAAAATGAGTATGGTGCAACAGACCCCTGCTTGTGTGAGAGCACTGCAGACAGAACGAGGGCTCGAGTCATTTTGTTGTCCTGTCATAATCATATCGGACATGGTCGGGAGGTATGACTGAGAGCAGTGCATAGTTACAAGGTTTATAAAACAACTGAAGCCGCTCAAAAAGAAGACGATTGAGCACACTTGGTGTTTTACCTGGCAAAGAATTAGACGTTTATTTGACCAACGGACAGGAACCGACTTGGCCATTCAGTCTTGACGTTTTCTCACTGCGCGAGTGCACACATATAGGTACATTTAACTGAAGCAAATCAGATGGTGACAGCTAGAGTCAAAGCAGGTTCTAAACTTAAACATTAGCTAAAAATACCCGACTCACTGCCAGAGGCGGAGGCAGACATTTGATACACCCGGGGATTAGCCCTAAAGGTAGTATGCATGTGGGATTTTTTTTTTTTTTTTTTTTTGGGGGGGGGGGGGGGGGGGGGGGGTGTTCACCTGCTCTTGTTCCCTCTCTGTTCTGTCCTCATTCTCCTCTCTCTCCCTCTCTGCTCCTCTCTCTCCCTCTCTCCTCTCTCTCCCTCTCTGTTCCTCTCTCTCCCTCTCTCCTCCTCTCTCTCTCTCCCTCTCCTCTCTCTCCCTCTCTGTTCCTCTCTCTCCCTCTCTCCTCCTCTCTCTCTCCCTCTCCTCTCTCTCCCTCTCTGCTCCTCTCGCTCCCTCATTGTGCTGACAATCATCAAATATACAGTTGAAACCAGATATTTACACACTTTTCAGATAGAAACACTTTTTTAATTGTAACATTAAATCAGACTAAATGTTTATTTTTTTAGATTGATAAATATAAAAACATGTTTGTTAACTTTAAGAGTAAAGGGAGAAACTATCTGTATTTCTTAATCAAAAATGGCACCCAATTGTATTCAAAATTGAGCCACACTTATGGAGCTCCACAGTTCTTTTCCTGGTGTTTTGGTTGACATCTTTGGTTGATTTTCCCATTTCAAAGAAACAGGCTGTGTTTTGCCTTATATGCATCCACAGGTGTGCCACCAATTTACTCACATGGACTCTGCTAACCTATCAGAAGCTTCTTCAGCTCAGAATGGAATCGTCTGGAGTTTTCTTATTAATTAATAATAAACTTAGTGTACATGTACTCCTAAATTTGATGAAAGTGATAATAAATAGACAGCTCTGTCTCTCTTTATTCTGACATTTAACTAATTCAAAGGATATTTATTTATCCAAAGCAAAACAAGTTTACTCTAAATTGATGTTGTACAGTAATAAAATGTTCTTGTGTTTTCCATAAAGTGTATGTAAGTATCTGGTTTAAACTGTGAATATACTGCTGTGTATTGAAGTTCCTCTTGTTTTCCATAGAAATATACTGAACAACATACAAAGCATAATATATAAAATAACATCTACCAGAGTTTTTTCTTTGAAAGAAGCTCCTTATGCCCATTCTTGTATATCAGTGCATTACTGAAACCGATTTATTTAGCCGCGGAGGGTAACGACTGAAAATATGAAATAAACACATGTGTAAGCTAAGACTCTATAAAGAAACAGCATTGTTGTTGTTCTGCTTTTCATTTCGCCATTTGTTGATTCACTCGAAGAGCAAGTAACGTAATATTGGTCAAGTGATCAGTTTGATATCAATCTTTTGTGATTCACCGTCATATTTACATTATTTGTACAGTACGAATGATTTGCTTTTGGTACCTGGTCGATCTTCAGCTCTCCTTAGTCTGCTTGGCTCCGTTTCTCCAACAGGCAGCAGCTCCCCCCGGCCCCTCGCTCAGTCGCTGAGCTCGGATCATACCAATATTAGGAGGGATTCACGCACAGTCATAAATTTCCACAGTGTGCACTATGTGCTTCGAATATTGTGTGTAGTTTTTGTTTTATACAGTTGTCAGCCAGGCATCTAACTATGAAAAAATTACACTCCAAAAGACCCCGGGCTTCTGACAAAACAACCCGGGCTTAAGCCCAGTAAGTCACCTCCCCTCCCCCCCCCCCCCCCCCCCCCCCCCCCCCGCTCCGCCACTGCTCCCTGCAATGCAATGAAATAAACTAACACCAAGAGCGAATGTATAATTGTAACCGCGTCGATATGTCGTGGTGCAGCCAGTGCTGCTCCTGCATTATCATGTTTTGTTTTGTTTTTTTAAAAACAGGCCCACCCACTGAAACGATAAGCCTCACAGTAAAAACGAACGCGGCGAATGGCATAATCATCATGTTTGTAACTGATAGCACAACCAACAGGCCTATTAATTAATTGTAGAATTTAGATTTTAAATCAGAATCCACGGACTGATTGTTAAAGCGTACTGATTTAATTTATCTCATATAAATTGCAATTACAAAGGCAGTTAATAAAGTAAATAAACACAAGCATATATACAAATGTATGTATGTTTAAAAAGTTATTCTTGGCCGTCATAAACATGAAGCAGTAGTTTTGAGTAAAGACAACTGGAACATATGACATCAAAGATTTATTTATTCAGAATTAATTATTACGGAAAATATTTTTGACATAAATTGAATGTATACCAATCAAGTACATTTTATTTGACCAAATTCAATTACATTTAGCGTTTGACATGTATGTAAGAAAACTATATGGAAAACTTACATTTAATCAAATTACTTGAATTCAACATTTTGGACATAAATCTCTTTTGAGTGTAAATAAAATATTGAAATAGCAGTTACTAAGTTATATTTACATTTTTTTTCTTGTAGTTTGGTGTGAAACAAAATAAAAGCTTTAACCTCCAGTTAATAAGGAGTGTGATTTGTGAGGATAAACACTTGTTTAAATAGAACAAATAAAAAAATCATCTTTAGATTTACTCATCTAAAGGAGTGAGCCAAAATAAAAATGTTTGGATTAATTCCAAAGTGGAGGTTATTTATAGACCCTTACCATCCCTCAAGAGCGCATTTCCAGTGTGGGGCAAAGCTGAAACGATAAGATATTTGGCTTGTACACATACCATATGTGTTTCTTAGCAGCCAGTTAATTCATTAAGGCCAGTTTTTAACGTCCGAGCATTACCAGCACGTCCAAGTTTGAGCAGTTTGAGCAGGTGATACGAGGGTTTCACTAGCTGTCAGTTTTGTACGCTTGCCCGTGGGAAATATAATTCTGATTGTTTCGTCCTATATTATAGAACACCGTGAGACTTTGGTTTCGTGTTTATCTCATGCCAGCTGTTACATGTCATTTGGAATCCTTCCAAACGCCTATAGCATTATCTTGAAGGGGGGCTGGGTGTGCCTATGTTCCACTGCATCCATAAAACCCCTCCGTTTGCAGCGAACACGGCATTGAACTTGAAAAAAAAAAGTCCAGAGGAAAGATGAGTCTTTCTGCTAAGGACAAGGAGATAGTCAAGGCCTTTTGGGCTAAAGTGTCGGGAAGGGCGGATAACATTGGCGGTGACGCTGTTGCCAGGTAAATAAGAAAAAACACGAGGCGAATTTAACCCGCTTCTGCATTTTTATCTATTACTTACTGGCTTATTCACCTGTGTTTTTGCCCAGGATGCTGACAGTGTACCCTCAGACCAAGACTTACTTCTCCCACTGGAAGGACCTGAGCCCCAGCTCTGCCCCAGTGAGGAAACACGGAGGAATGGTGGCAGCTACAATAACCGATGCTGTGAACAAAATCGACGACCTGGCAGGGAGTCTTCTTACCCTCAGTGAGCTGCATGCTTTCACTCTGCGAGTGGACCCTGCAAACTTCAAGGTATTTGTTTATTAAATCATGAAAGCGGTTCAGAAAACCTGTGGGTTTGCTTTAAAGATTAATTGGACTACAAATTAAACGCTTGCTTAAACATTTTTTAGTAGTTTTTATTTAAATGTGCCTCCATAGGCTACTGGTTGAGACTGCATCCCTTCTAGTGAGGAACTGTAACGTCATCATTAATTATTCTTTGATTTAGAAGCCTATAAATCTGTCCCATCCACACATGGATAAGGCCATATGCAAATATAAATAAATCATAAGTTGAACCCCAATTCGTGACATCGAGCTACAGTTATCTTTAGGATAAATGAAATGTGTGTTTCAGCTGCTGCAGCGCAAAAATGTTACACTTTTAAACAAACAGGGAAGTTGCCTGTGTTGTCAGCAAGTCAAAGCACGACACTGTCACCGAAGAAACACAGGATAGACTGAGTTATGATTCAGATAACTGATCTTTGATGTCATAATCCCTGATTCTGCTAAAGAAGTGTCACGATCTTTGTACAGATTCTTGCTCAGAACATCCTGGTGGTTCTGGCCACTATGTTCCCCGTCGACTTCACCTCTGAGGTCCATATGGCTTTAGACAAGTTCCTGGCTGCCTTGGCTCGTGCCCTGTCTGTGAAATACCGATAAATTGCATACTGGAGGCGACGAGCGGCAGGGGCTCAGATAGCAATTCACTGACAGTCTGAATCTGAATAAATCAAATGCAATGAAACTGCCGTGTTTGTTTGGGGTTTTTTGTGTGGTGTACATTAAAAATACTTTACACCACAATACTTTATCATCCGTCATAATTTATGAGAGGTCCTTTGATGCGAAAGTCACAGCATGACTTATTTTTATTTTACACCATCTTATTTAAAATTTGAAAGAATAGGCTAATTAATATCTTACACCCACTATTTAACTCTTCTGTTACACCCTGATATAGTTGCAAATGCTAGAAAAAAAAAAGAAAAAACAACAAAGTGAAAAATAAGCTCGTTGTTTTATTGATTTAAGCCTCCTCAAGACATGATATAAAAAACAGAGTATGTAACGGTCCTATTATGAAAAAGGGGAAATAAAACAAACAACTTGAGGTATATGCTTCATATATCTTATTTATTAACATCATTTTGAGGTACAATTTAACAACAGAGTGTGTGACGGTCCTCTGCAGCTCTCTAGTAGTACTGCTTTCTGAGGGAGGACACCACCACTGCCAGGAACTTCTGAAAAGCTGCGTGTACCTCAGGAGTGAAGGCTTTACTCAGCTGGGAAGCAACCACAATGGTCAGGCAGTGACCCAGGAGCTGTAACACAACACAACATGCATGAGATATCATGAACATGCTAAATAAATACATAAATATCAATAGAAGCCAGTACCATCAGTTCAGCATTGCCTACCATGAAATTGTCAGGGTCCACCTGCAGTTTCTCAGAGTGCAGCGCGCTCAGCTCTGCATATGTGGCCTTGATGTTGTCCATGTCCTTCACGGCTTTTTCCAGAGCTTCCATGATGACTTTTCCATGAGACGAAACCCTTGGATTTGATGTGATGGCAGCAGCATTGTAGAGGTTTCCAAATCCACCGAAATACCTCTGAGTCCAGGGGTAGACAATCAGACACCTGCGGAAACAGAAAATTTTAAATAGCTCACAATTACTAAAGAAGAGTCATATATAGAGTCATATAATCTTGCACATTCTTTAAGGGAGAAACATGGTCATACCTGGAAAAAGCTGCTTGCCCAACGACCGCATAGTCGATCTTGGAGAAGATGTCCTGGATCGCGGTGCGCTCAAAGTCTGTCCAACCATTTTGCTTTGTTGAGTTTTGCACTTGTCCTGTTAGTCAGCAGCCCACCACACGCAGCTTTTAAAGGTCTGTTTCGCTCCACCCAAAGATATGCAGTTGGGTGGAGTAGGACAGTAGGGTGGATAAACCGAGTTACATGTAACGCTTTGTACTTCTTTGTTCGTGTAACTTGAAAATCAGTCAAGAGAAAACAAGCTTTCCAGTGTAAGTCTTCGTCACATTTGTGCCAGCTTAGTTAATTAGTTTCATTATTCATAAACGTTTTCGTTACCTGATGTTTTCAGTATTACAGTTTTAAAAAATCATTTTAATGTTAGGGAATCACACAGAGCTACATTTTTAAGTTCGGGAAATTCAGAATATCATAAGAACACCTTCTGAATCGAGCTGACTCACAGACCAAATCCCAGTCTCATTTAACAGATCTGCAGACGTTTTTTTAATTAGCTTAATTAACTGTAAGTAAACATAAATAAAGAATTGTTTAAAGATAAGGTGAGATTAAAAAAACCCCCAGAAGATTCCACTGCGCTGGAGAGATAGCATTTTGGTTTTTATTGAAACTTTTTTGGTCTCATTTTTCCATACTTCTATATCTCTTCCGCTAATTTTAGGTTGATTTTGGCAGAGTTATCATGCCCTGTGCTCACATGGGAACCTAGAAATCAACTTTCCTTCCTGAGGCTAACGGCTCAGTGTGCACCCACCTGTTGAACATCAGATATGTTTCAGTAAGGTGTTGGCTGCTAAGATATAACGTCATCATGTTGGTAACTGACAGCCTTGCAAAATCTAGAACTTGAATCAGTATTTCTAGTCCTCTACATGTTTAATTTTGGTTTTTCAGTACTAAGCTGTATGCTACGTAATTTTTATAATATGTTCTTGTATAATAATAATAATAATAATAATAATAATAATTATAATTATTGTTATAGTTATTGTTATTATTATAATTATTGTTATTGTTATTGTTATTATTATTATTATTGTTGTTGTTGTTGTTGTTGTTGTTGTTATTATAAATTTAAAATGTCCATTTTACTGCTTTGACTTATTTCAGCACCACATTAATATGAACAGCAACAGACTCAAAGACAACAATCACTGTCACTGGAAATCTATGTTTTGGGTTTTAAAACTGCAAACTTTTAGTATTCAGTTGGATTAATTGAATTAATTTATTAAATAAATGAATAAATAAACACTGCCTTGAGACTGGCTTACGGACTGGTCTTCAGAGCCACCATCGCAATTTTATCTTGCGTTTATCTCGAGCAGAACCTTGTGGTCATATCTCTGAGGTGGCCCGGGTGTGTCCATTGCTTGTTTCATGTATAAAAGCCCCCGTAGTTTGAGCTGATCAGGAAAAGCGAAAAACAAAACAAAAACAGGCAACATGACATCCCTTTCCGAAAAGGACAAGAACATAGTCCAAACTTTCTGGGCTAAAGTGGCTGGCAGGGAGGAGGACATCGGTTGTGATGCTGTCTCCAGGTAAATATGCCTTATGATATACAACCTATGACCCCAACTGGACAGACCCTCTGCTGCATTTTTTTACCTACTATTTACTTAACCTACATTTTACCTATGCTGACAGTGTACCCCCAGACCAAGACTTACTTCTCCCACTGGAAGGACCTGAGTCCCGGTTCTGACCCGGTGAGGAAGCACGGAGCAACCGTGATGGCTGCAGTTACTGATGCTGTCAGCAAAATTGATGATCTGATCGGAGCTCTTCTGAGCCTCAGTGAGCTGCACGCCTTCACTCTGAGAGTGGACCCTGCAAACTTCAAGGTACTTATTTATTAAATCATAGCAGTGAAACTTTTTAGTGTTTTGCTGTGAAGGTTTGGACCTAAATAAAACAGATCACAACTTTTGTGCATTTTCGTATTAATATAAAAATAATTTAATAGATTTAATATTTTTTTGTCTTTAGACATCCCAAGTTTTTCTTCCCAAATCACTATTCTCAAGCATATCTATTTTCTGTCTAAATTACACTTAACCCAGACTGTGCGGTTCAATCGTACAAAAAAAAATGTTTGCAGAATATTACAGCAATTAAATGTGACTTTAAATGTGGCTATCATGTTTTCACAGGTTCTCTCTCACAACCTCCTTGTGGTCCTGTCCACCACATTCCCCAACGACTTCACCCCCGAGGTCCACGTGGCTATTGACAAGTTCCTGACTGCGGTGGCGCTTGCCCTGTCTGAAAAGTACCGATAAATTGCACTCTGACGGTCAACAACATGGGCTTGGATACTCCCAAACTGATTTTTAATGTAAAAACAAATAAATAAATCTAATACAGTACTGCTGTTATCTGTGTGGTGAAGTGAATTTATTTAAAGTTGATATCAACTTTCAATTTGGTGGCAAATCTAAAAAATAAAAACAATATACGTGTAATAAAGGAGGGCTGAGATGAAAGGCCAACAAAATGTGCCAGAATTTATTAAAAGTCAAGATGAGTGACCAATAAGCTTTCAGCTGGCCACTAAATAAAACTTAATGTGCAAACACAGAAAGAGTGTTCAAAGTAATAGCCTACCTTTCTAACCATTAAATGCGAGCTGCCACAGAGTAACGATTTTATTTGTTTCTACAGCTATAATGTTGTGCAATAAAAGTAACATCGCTATAACTTTATTGCAGGCTATAGGAGGCTGCCGATGTTTTGCAGATCCCAGCACAAATTAATATTCTGACGATTATATTTTTTAAAATAATATCAACATTAATTCTATTCATTCTATAAAATAGCTTTTTAGATGCCTGTATATATATTGTTGCTGCAGCAATTATGCTTTAAAATAACATGGAAAATCCAATCCAAGATAAACCCAGAACACAACACAGCAGCACATGCTGTAGTTTGCTGAGAACATCTTTATTATTGTTTATGATTCCTTTATAATTGTCCAGAGCAATGCAATAACCAACAAAATTTGTAAAGCAAAGAAAAAAATGTGTACGTTCAAATGATTTATAAAACCAAACGCTGCAAACTTTATTTTCATTATAACCATGGCCAGGGTCACATGCTCTTATTAGTAATTGACAGTTTATTTGACCTCGATCAGTTACAGCACAATCTGATTTACTAGAAGTTATGCCTTTAAAAAAAACACCCCAGAAGAAGATAGTAGTGATGTGGGATAATGCAGAATAAGGTATCGATCTGATACCAAGTAAATAAAGGCCCAGTTTTGCCCATACCAATACTGATACTGATACTTTAAATCTATATAGGCAGTTTATGTAGGGGAGAGCAGTGTATCAGGATTTATGACATGAGTCATGTCATACAGTTTACGAATTCTTAACACATTTTTAATGTCGTTCTACACTAATGAGTCGACACAACTTATCTCACAAAGTTCAGTGGGCTACATACTGAATTTAGAGAATACAAACAAATTATCAACCCTATTGCACTGCAATCGATCCAATACCATGGTTGTTATGGATACCATCAACTAGAAGACACAATGGTGTTTTCCTTTTACAAGTATCACCTTGCTCACATTTGTCTGTGTGTGTTTGTGTTTGGATGTAGTTGTATTTCGTTTGTACATCAGCTGTCTCACAGAACAGTATAAAAGAACAGTGTGTAGGCCTATATATTTTTCTATATATGAACAAAGCTTACAAGACTCTCAAAGAGTTACTTTTATTTACTAATATGACCATATATTCTGAAAAAAGGGGAAATAAAATGAACAACTTGAGGTATATGCTTCATATATCGCATTTATTATCAGCATTTTGAGTCACACTTTAAAAACAGTCCTCTGTAGCTCTCTAGTAGTACTGTTTTCTGAGGGAGGACACCATTTAAAAATTAAAAGAATAGGCTCATTTATAGGTTGCACTACAAGATACACCCACCATTTAACTCTTCTGCTACACCCTGATATAATTACAAATGTTGGAAAAGGAAAAAACAACAAAGTGAAGAATATGCCCATTGTTTTATTTATTTAAGCCTCCTTAAGACATGATTAAAAAAACTGAGTATGTGACGGTCCTCTGCAGCTCTCTAGTAGTACTGCTTTCTGAGGGAGGACACCACCACTGCCAGGAACTTCTGAAAAGCTGCGTGTACCTCAGGAGTGAAGGCTTTACTCAGCTGGGAAGCAACCACAATGGTCAGGCAGTGACCCAGGAGCTGTAACACAACACAACATGCATGAGATATCATGAACATGCTAAATAAATACATAAATATCAATAGAAGCCAGTACCATCAGTTCAGCATTGCCTACCATGAAATTGTCAGGGTCCACCTGCAGTTTCTCAGAGTGCAGCGCGCTCAGCTCTGCATATGTGGCCTTGATGTTGTCCATGTCCTTCACGGCTTTTTCCAGAGCTTCCATGATGACTTTTCCATGAGACGCAACCCTTGGATTTGATGTGATGGCAGCAGCATTGTAGAGGTTTCCAAATCCACCGAAATACCTCTGAGTCCAGGGGTAGACAATCAGACACCTGCGGAAACAGAAAATTTTAAATAGCTCACAATTACTAAAGAAGAGTCATATATAGAGTCATATAATCTTGCACATTCTTTAAGGGAGTGAATATCAGAAACATGGTCATACCTGGAAAAAGCTGCTTGCCCAACGACCGCATAGTCGATCTTGGAGAAGATGTCCTGGATCGTGGTGCGCTCAAAGTCTGTCCACACAACCATTTTGCTTTGTTGAGTTTTTCACTTGTCCTGTTAGTCAGCAGGTCACGGCGTGCAGCTTTTAAAGGTCTGTTTCGCTCCACCCACAGATATGCAGTTGGGTGGAGTTAGACAGTGGGATGTGCCAGTGTGGGGTTTGGCAGGACTATATTCACTTCACCATCAAACTGAATCAAAGAAAATGATTCAGTTTTTTCATTATCATTGAATCATAAATTAAATTCTAAATTATTTTCATTCGTCACTCTCAAAATCTGCGAATTTAGCCTCTGACCACTCAGATAGCTAATTGTGTCTACTCAGGTATACATGTGAGCCTCATTAGCTTTTATTATTTTATGTCCTGTTTTTTACATTTCACTGCAATGAAGGATCACCTCTGTCTAAACAGGAAATCTCAACTTTTGAGCTCTTTTGTGAACAAAAAAAGAAAAAAGTAAAAATAAACCCACAGATATCCAGGAAACATTTACTGCTCTCAGGGTGGATCCACCTGTTGGAAGTTTAGATAAGGCAGAAACAAACGTCATCCTCAAACCTTAGTCATCGTAAGTTTTAACTGCCTGAACAAACGGCAGTTAACTGCAGAATTTCAATTTGGAGTAATGACTCCTTGGCAATCTACATGTCTATATTTAAATCATAAATTTGAAGTGAAATTACATCAAATTTTGCTTGAATGAATTAGACCACCATCCAAATCTGGGTCCAAAATCTCCTGTGTAAAAAGCAAAATAAGAATGTTTAATCCACTGTTAAGATTGCAGCTGTCAAAATATAAAAAATTAGCTCATGCTTGAAAAGAAAATGCCTTGTTATAAAAATCCTCTGATATCATTAATTAATTGTTTTCCATTCTGATATCTGTTTGCAACATAAATAAATACGGGATTCACTAATGTCTCACCTTAAAAACTGAACTGTCTATCAAAGTTGATTATTTTAGATGATAAACAATTATTTTAATAAACAGTCAAAGTTAAAAATACAGTTTTCATTTGTTAATGTAACCCATGAGCCAAAAACATTGCAATTTTAGGTATTTATGAAAAAGTATTATATTTCATGATTTTCTATTTTATTTTTAAAATATGTACACACACACATGCACACACTCACACACACAGATATACATATTTAGTATACACATTCAGTAATGCGCAAATACTCTTATATTGTACATATATTTATTCGTATAATTGTCAGATTTACCCGCTCTTATATTTTGCTTGTTATTATGTTATTGTATTTTTGCTTGTGAAGCTCGCACGCAAGAATTTCACTCGCATGTACTGTACCAGTGTACCTGCACATGTGATGTGACAATAAAACTGATTTGATTTTGTTGTCTAGAAATACATTTTCCTTTTCCACTCTTTGGTTTAGTTTTATTTCTTTATTGTGTGCACTAACTTTATAGGTGAACACCATTTAAAACTCTTTTTCTTCAGTAGTTTTCAAAGCTATGTTGGGCCTGTCCAAGAGCCTGTTGCTATCTCTGAGGTGTGTCGGGTGTGTCCGTTTACTGTTCTACATATAAAAGCCTAAAGCTTTTCTGGTGGTCAAGACAACTTCAAACGAAAAGTCAACAGGCAAGATGACCAGTCTTTCTGCTAAGGACAAGGACACAGTCAAAGCCTTTTGTGCTAAGGTGGCTGGAAAGGAGGAACAAATCGGCTGTGATGCTGTCTCCAGGTAAATATGGATTATGACTTATAATCTGGACCCAAATGGACTGCTTTAACGTGCTCCTTTTTTTCAAATATATGTACTGTTAACTCACCTTACATTTTTACCCAGGATGCTGACAGTGTACCCTCAGACCAAGACTTACTTCTCCCACTGGAAGGACCTGCGCCCCGGCTCTGCCCCGGTGAAGAAGCACGGAGCAACCGTGATGACTGCAGTTACTGATGCTGTCAGCAAAATTGATGATCTCACCGGTGGTCTTCTCAGCCTCAGTGAGCTGCACGCCTTCACTCTGAGAGTGGACCCTGCTAACTTCAAGGTACTGACATACAATAAATTCTGAAAGTGGTCCTGATTTCGTTGTGTTTTTTTTCATGAAGGTTTAGTTGCAGTTTCTTTGTTTCTAAGCTTAATGTACATTTAATGTTTAACTTCTTGTAGCAGTACTGAATACTGAATCGCAGTATTCAAATAAACAGAAATAAATAACCCTGGCATGCATTTTCTAACAGCATGGCGTTTTTTTTTAAAAATGTGATCTTCATCTTTTCACAGGTTCTTGCTCACAACCTCCTCGTGGTCCTGGCCACTGTGTTTCCCAACGATTTCACTCCTGAGGTCCACGTGGCGATGGACAAGTTCCTGGCTGCTGTGGCTCATGCATTGTCTGAGAAATACCGTTAAAGTGTACACATGAGCAGATGTCTCAATTTGAATAATGAAACATAATAATAAAATAAAAATCAAACTGTTGTGATTATTTTTATATTCTTCTTGTGTTTGCAAACAATAAGTTAAAAGGATTTAAAAGCTTTCTATTTCAGGTCAACAACACATTGGCCCACATCTACATCCATTTTTTTAAGAGATGTAGACTGACCCTAACCTTTGATATGATTATAAATACTTGGCTGTTTGTAGGGGGGTAATAAGAAGACTTTGCAAAAATGTAGTACAACTTGACAAAAGCCAAGCAGGAGTTTTCCTTGTTGTTTAGTTCTTCCCCTAAGCTTATAACACATCTGAAGCTACATACATAGCATAGAGAAGTCCATTGAAAACCTGAAGTAAAATCAAGATCTGAATTCAGAGCAGTTGGGACACTTTTACTTGACTTTCAAATTCTGCATTGGTTTCTCTTTTCTATAGTCATTTATAGCGATTTAAATAATAACTATTATGACAAAAGTCACCTCAATGCGCTTTATATTGTACAGTAAACACATTGAACATAGGAACACAAGATCTCTTGAGAATAAAAGAAGAAACATAATTAGACGCAGACATGACAACAAGAACTTGACAACACAAGACACGCAGACATGAAACACATGAAGGGCAAGGGAGACTTAATACAGGGGTTGAAGACACAAAGGGGAATCTAATAAAAAAAAAAAGTCTATAATGGCAACCTAGGCATAATAGAAATGAACTTAGAAAACCTAAAGGATTTAAGCAAACACGGGGAGAACATGCAGACACACAAAGAAAGGCTCCAGCTAGGTGGCGGAATCAAATTCAGGACCGTCTTGCGAGGCAACAGCGCTAATCACCGCACCACTGCGCTGCCATTGATGCATGACTGTTATCTGTTAACTGGCCAATTACTGAAATTAATAAAGAAATATGATTTAGTCACAGAAACACTGGACACTAAGTTATTTCCATTAGATAAAACAATAATTTTCAAACAAAACAAAACATTAACCCATTTTCTCTGTGGTAGAAAAAAGCTTTTGTGACTAAATAGGTAGATCGAGCCCAGAAACAAAGACCAAAGGAGACCTTCATAAAATTTGGAATAAAGATACAGTTTTTATTGTTGCCACTATACACACTGTATTGTGAATGAAACCATCAATATGTGATTGAAATCCAGACTTTCAGCTTTAATTCAAGGGTTTTCACAAAAATTTTACATTCTTTCAAATACTTTCTGCCAAAGCCTAATTTGACTTTCTTGGTCTTCAGTGTAATCAGTGGTTTGGACCTTGGTGCAAACTCAGCAAACTCAGTATCTCTTGATTGCGACTTTGACAACTCCTCAAGAGTGTTAGATGTTGTAAGTTTTATTTTCCTCACCACAGAAATAATTTTTGTCAGCATGCACTTGTATTTCATTGCGTTTAAGGTTGTTTGGTGTGGCTGCTTATTAGTCAATTGTCCTATAATTTTTCAAGTTCTCAAACTGGGGACTTTGTATAAAAATTACTTTAATTCTAAAACAGTTCATGAAACATTTTTGTAAAACCTCTTGATTTAGAGCTGAAAGCAAGCACTTCAATCACATGTTGACTGATTGATTTACAACCCACTGTGGTTATGTATGGAAGCAAATCCACAAAAACTGGGTTCTTGTCCTGAACATTATGTGCATGCATTTGGTTGCATGGTTTTTAATGCTCTTATTGTTATATCAGCCTGCACCACATACTTTGCTGTGTTTAGTCGTCACATTTGTTTTTACAAGCTGTGAGTTCAATGGATTCATTTTACATTATAATTTTTGAGCGGGATCATAACATTGAGTGTGCTTCCATTTTACTTGATGCACCATATAATATCTAGGTGGTTGTTGCATGACTTTTATATGTATCATTTCGCTTTTGATATTGAAATTTATTTTGCTAATAAGGTAGATATAAACTTTTACATTTTGGTGATTTAACACTAAAATTAGTAAACTGTTGGGGGTTTTTAAGTTTAACTTATCATTACAGACAGTTTATTTTAATCATAAACAAAGTGAAAAAGAAAACAGGGAAATTTCTGAAGTTGCTTAATATTTTATTTTGTTTAAAGCTCATTGAGACAAGGGTTTAAAACAGAGCATGTGACGGGCCTCTGCAGCTCTCTAGTAGTACTGTCTTCTGAGGGAGGACACCACCACTGCCAGGAACTTCTGGAAAGCTGCATGGACCTCAGCAGTGAAGTTTTTACGCAATTGAGAAGCAACCACAATGGTCAAGCAGTCACCCAGGAGCTGTAACACAACAAAACATGCTTTAGCAATCTTCAACTCGCACACACATAACAATGAAAATCAGTACCATTAATTCAATACATACCATGAAATTGTCAGGGTCCACCTGCAGTTTCTCAGAGTGCAGCGCGCTCAGCTCTGCATATGTGGCCTTGATGTTGTCCATGTCCTTCACTGCTTTTTCCAGAGCTTCCATGATGACTTTTCCATGAGACGCAACCCTTGGATTTGATGTGATGGCAGCAGCATTGTAGAGGTTTCCAAATCCACCGAAATACCTCTGAGTCCAGGGATAGACAATCAAACACCTGAGGGAATATATAAATAACCGATTTGCTCTTAGTTCTAAAAGAAAAAATTACATTGTGTAATGCACAAAATATGCCAGCTTTTTTCATTGCACATAAAGATGCTATTCAATTAACCCCAATTTCTTTATGTTAATATAAACACAAACAATGTTTCACCTGGAAAAAGCTGCTTGTCCAACGACCGCATAGTCAATCTTGGAGAAGATGTCCTTGATCGTGGTGCGCTCAAAGTCTGTCCACACAACCATTTTGTCTTGTTGAGTTTTTCACTTGTCCTGTTGGTCAGCAGGTCACCAAGTGCAGCTTTTAAAGGTCTGTTTCACTC